TGTGATTTGTAGTTTGTTCTGGCACCAGAGCTCTTTGACAGTGAAGCTATATCTTACAAAATGACAAGTCCCAGAATTCCACAGCATTGAGCCATGGCAGTTAAAACAGTGTCAAGCTTCATTAACTCTGTAGTGTAGTTCAAGCCATAGTTTTATTAATGTGTTTGAGGTTATTCTAAAAACTGACCCATGGATAAGTTTAAATTGATTTTTCCCATGCAGGTCCATGCTTTAAATATCTTGAGAGCTTTATTCAAGGATACCCGCTTAGGAGAAAGTATCATTCCTTACGTGGCAGATGGAATGAGAGCAGCAATATTAGGTTTTACATCTTCTGTCTGGGCAGTAAGTTAATCCTTTACATTTAATATACTATATACTTGACTATAAGTTGACCTCATGTATAAATCAAGGGCAGATTTGGGGACCAAAATTATGGCTTTTGATATGACCCATGGATAAGTCGACGGTAAAACTTAGGGGCATGTGACCAATGATCTAAAGCAAGGGTAGGCAACCTTTTTGAGCCACGGGCTGGGTTGCTGTCCCTCAGACAATTGGGGGGCCGAAGCACAATAAATAAATAAATAAATAATTTTTTTAAAAAAAAAAAATATGCATGCACACACTCTCAGCCCCAGAAAAGTCATGGCAAAACCCCTGTGGAGATTTTGCCAAGACAACCCCAAGAACAAGTAATAACAACAATAATCAGTATCATCATGGCGGGCGGTGGGGGGGCGGCGGCAGTGGCGGCAGGACCGGCCTGGGGCCAGTCCAAAGGCCTCGAGGGCCGCATCTGGTCCCTGGGCCTTAGGTTGCCTACCCCTGATCTAAAGGATGAAGCAAAGGAAAACAATGCCAAAGAAATTATAAAATTCTAGCAGGCATCACTGTTTGTGCTCACCCAAAAGGCTGGATGGATAAGAGAGTAGAGGGAAGTCAATCCTTCCAGAACAGATGACATTCTTCCTTTTCACCAGGGGATGGTTCCTTTTTAAATAGGTGTTAAAGTATAGTACTTACATTGACCCATGGATAAGTCGACTCAGTTTTTTTGGGTCAATTTTCTGACTAAAATTTCTAGACCTATACATGAGTATATACAGTATTAATTTGAAAAGCTGCATGTTAATGACAGTAACTAAGGCATTGATTATGTTTTTCAATAACACTACAATGTCTGATTGAATTTTTATGAATTATTTTTATAGAGTTATATTGAATATGCTGAGTGGACAGTATGTTAGCATGAGGGAAATGCTATAAAACAGCCTACCCTTGGTATTCTCTTGCATCAACTAACTCTTTATTTAGTTTTATTTGAATTTTATGTAGTTTTGTACAGTGAAGGTTGAACATTGATTCAGCTTAAAAGAATAACAGAGCTGATGTTTCCGCTGACATTAAAAGTAGTTTCTAATTAGTTAAAAGTAACTAGGCTGTAATATTAAACATGTATTTATTTATTTATTATTTTCATTTTACTATCTATTCAATCAGGTCTCTGTTGGCCTTAGCCCAAAGGACAAAGCCTTTTAAGTACTATGAGTGTGTGTGTTGTGTGTGTGTATATATATATATATATATATAATTTTCTCAGGCTTTGTAATACATCTCAAATTGATACTAATTTAGTTCATGCATTTAGTCAAAGTGTACCTGATAGCCATTGCCAAAGCCTACATTTTACTTAAATTTTTATTCTTGCTTCCAGCTATTCCAATGTCAGTACAATAAGACAAAATTGACAAAGTGGCAAAATGTTTTAGAGACATTTGTAGCGGGGGAATGGGGTGGGAGTGGGGATAAGGTTCATAAATACTACCAAATATGGGCCATACATCATTAAGAGGTCTAGCCCTACCACCTTTAGAATGATATTATGTTACTTTCCAAATGGTCCAGTGGTTAAATTTGTAAAAGTTGATAGCTTAATTGCATGGATCCAAATAGAAAGAAACATGTTAACAAAACATTATGAGGCAGATATATTTTCAGCTAAAGTTAAAAAAATAACAAGACATAGTAGCTCACCCATTTACAGAGAGAATGTCCATTACATGGTATGGGAATAAATTTTTTTTTAGCACCAGCTCCATCACCTCTTTTTCCTTTAAGAGCATCATATTTTAAAAGAGAAAAACAAATCTAACCAATTTAGTGGATGGAAAGAGAAATGAATAAATAGAATAGACTCAAACCAATAGAGTTTGCATGGTTGCAACTAATGCAAATAAATTTCTTCCAGGCAAGACCATGTGCTGTAGGTTATATTTCAGAAGAAAGCAATGACAGACCTCTTCTAAGTATTCATCTTCAATTTGCCTGTCAGTTTATGGCAATCCCATGAAATTCATGGGTTGCCATAAACTGACAGACAAATTGAAGGCACGCGTGCGTGCGTGTGTGTGTGGCGCCCCCCCCCCCCATAACCCATGCTAATGCTTCCATGTTCTTTCCATAGATCTAATTTATATAGGACTTTTTAGGGACAGTTCAAAACAGGGCTACCTTCGGACTTATTTTTATAGTCCCCTGAGTCCCTTCCATCCACCCCCCTTTTTAAAGGAACTTTGTTGCTGCGTACCTTCAAATCATTTCCCTCTTATGATGACCCTAAGGGTTTTCTTGGCAAGATTTGTCTGGAGGGTCACCCAGTGGGTTTCTATGGCTGAATAGGGATTTAAACCCTGGTATCTACTACTCCTAAAATCCTCCAGGAGCAGCAGTTGTTCTTTAAAACAAGTTATAGGGCACCTCACACTTTATGTTGCCCCCTGAAAAGCCCCTAAGAGGTTGTTATGCCAAAGAAAATTTGTTAGTCTTTAAGGTTCCACAAGACCCTTTTGTTTTTTGCTGTTAACAGACTTGCAGCTTAGAAACGTAGAAGCTACTTACCCAAAAATCTTTATCCCAGTTTTCTGTATATCCTCATAGATTATTATCCAAGGACTAAATTCAATTGCAAGTAACATGGGGTTGACTCATTCAGTCAATTGCTGCACGATAAGTCAACATTTATGCAAATCTCATTAATTTGATGGGCCTAACTTTGGATTTCGGCCAATAGGTTTTGCATGTGTTCCTGACTACTCTGATATTTTTAAAGGTAATGTCATAATTAACTTGCAATTTACAACAGAGTGCCTTTTTCATGTGGAAATATTTTTGTCTGCCCAGTTACTGATTTAATAAGAATGTTGTACACATGATGCAGGCATACTTCAAAATATCAACACTGTTTAAAACCTATTTCTCTTTTTCTTTTTACATTAGGTAAGAAATTCATCTACACTTCTTTTTAGTACTCTCATTACAAGAATATTTGGAGTTAAAAGAGGAAAAGATGAGAACTCAAAAAAAAACAGGTATGTTCCTTTGGTGCCAAGAAGTAAGATATAATGTCCAAGAGCAACCTTGAAAAAATTATGTACTTCTAATAGATTTATGTGAAGAATAATGTTACAAAAGCATTTCTGCACTTGAGCCAGATCTGATGCCAAGAATTAAGCTCTGTGGCAAAAAATAACTACTGTGAGCTGCAAGTGTTAAATTTGGTTTTAAATGGATCTTGAGGCCAGCTGTTGAGTATGACTGAGCCTCTTCTTTTCCAGAGATTTATTTCAAAACTTGGCACAGTACATGTATGCGTGTCTATATGTGGGGAAGAGAAAAGAAATTGGTATAAATCTCTTGATATCTATATATACAGAATTATGCTATTTTGAGGATAGGCTTCAACACAGGGAAATTCTGAATGTTGTATTTCATTGATTAAAGTCCACATGTCCAACAGTGGTGGCTGATTGTTTTCATGTCTACCAATAGGAGGGGAATTGCAAAGGAGCTTTCCAAGGTTCTGAACCATAACCTTAAAATTGCTTCAGTTTCATAAATAGCTCTTTTAATATCTGAATGAATACCCAGTAAAGACTTATAACCCCCCAACCTGGGAGCCATCGCCTACTATGAACCTTCTATCTCTACTGTCTTCATTATTTCACAGGTTGGTGAGGAGTGTATAGAACAACTGTTGCAAGGAACAATTTAAAATGTATATTATTGCACATAATCTTCAGAAGAAAAGATTAAGTAGAAAGAAAATAGCAGTCTTCAAGTATCTGAAGGGCTACCATAGAGAAATGAAGCTGATTTGTTGTCTGTTGCTCCACAAGGAAGCCTAGAGCCAATGGGTGGACATTGCAGGAAAGCAATTTTGGCTAAACATTAGACGAAACTTTCTTATAGGTTAAACTGCATGGCAGTGGAACAGGCAGCCAGGGTGTGATGGGTGGAGTTAGGGGGGTTGCAGACTGCCAGAAATAGTGCAAATTGAGTCCACTTTTAGGGTTAGGATTAGTGCTAGGGAATCATGGGAATTGTTTTTTTCCTGAGACATTGAGCCTTCTCCATCAGAGAGCTCTGGTGCCACAATAAAATACAGTTCCCATGATTTCCTAACCCTAACCCTAAAAGTGGACTCAATTTGCACTATTTCTGGCAGTCTGCAACCCTTCTACTTAAGCAGGAAAGGTGGAGGGCAGCAGGAAGAGAGGAAGGCCTCATGATAGATAGATAGACTCAGTCAAGGTTGAGGATAGGTTTTTTTGGACATGTTGCATTCATGGGCACCATGAGTCAAGGTTGGCTCAAAGGCAGTTAACCACAACAACAGTTAAGCAGAGACTGGGTATCCATCTGCCAGATGTTATATCTTCTCTTTGCATTACAGAGTGCATTAGATTGGGTATCCATCTGCCAGATGTTATATCTCCTATTTGCATTACAGAGAGTACATTAAACAGGTAGTTGGACTACACAATCTCAAATGCTCCTTCCAATTTTGTGAACCCTTTATCCTGTGAATCTAGAAAATCTGTCACATTAGTATTTCTTGACATATCACTTGATGATGTTACAGGGTTTGTATAGCTATGTACCTAAATCTTGAAGTGCATTTTATTCAGAAATGTCGGGAGGGAAAGCATATTTAGAGAGCCAGCATGGCATAATGGTTTGAGTGTTAGACTGAGACTCTGGAGACCAGGGTTTGATTCCCTGCTTGGACATGGAGCCCACTGGGTGATCTTGGATAAGTCACAGGCTCTCAGCCTCAGGAGAAGGCAAAGGCAAACCTCTTCTGAACAAATCTTGCCAAGAAAACACCATGACAGGATCGCCTTAGGGTCACCATAAGTCAGAAACAAGTTGAAGGCACCACCACCACAACAAAGCATATTTACTTGAAAATCATTCCCATTCAAATCAGTGGGTCTGACTTGCACCTTGTTTTATAAATGTTAGCTTTTGTATGAATTAATAAATGCAATGAAGCATAGCAACAAGTCTTGTCATATATACATATTTTTCAAGTTGTTTTTGTCCTGCTGTATTTCAGCAATGGCGTCATATTTCCAAAATCTCCCACATGGGTATCATGTATCAAGAGTACCATGAAGTTATGCACATACAGAGGGTGATTTGTTATTTTGTGTGCACTGTGTATACTTGAGGATGACTGCTGCATTTATGTTGTATTATATGAGACATTGGGAAGAATGGGCAGTTGTGCTCACTCATGGTATAAATTGTGCCAAGAATCCAAAAACTGGTGATGGGTTGTGGTCTGTGCTTACTGCTAGACAAATCAAGGGACTCATAGAGAACAACTCTGTGTTTGTTGCTGTCTACTTGTAAAGAGAAATTAATTTAATCTGAAAATTTGATATGATTGAGTTTAATGTATTACTGTGACTCATATGGAGGAGTAATGGTGATGACATAAAGGAGTTGGAATCTAACTGTATCTTACATATTTTATGTGTCATTTTTATTTGCTATTTGTTAAGAAAAGTAATAATGTAGAGTAAGAAGCTTGTTAAATATCTTCAGTCTTCTAAAACTTATAACAATTTAAAGTAACTATGTACATCTTTCTCAAAACATAGCAAATGCATGGGTTATATAATTGAGAATCACGGCATGTTACTATTTCATAATTCGGTGTGATAGTTCAACATGTATTTTTCCCATTAATAAGTGTGAAGAAAGGACATTAGCAGATTATGATTAAATGGATAGACTGATTGATAGATATGGCAAACTAAAAATCTGAAAGTGTAAAAACTAGGCTCTGGTGCAAAAATGGTATCTAAATCTGCTTCTAACCCTTTTAAATAATTAATATTTTAAAATTAATATTTTAATTAAAAATGTATCATGCTACATTTTCTATATATTTCTATATAATTTTTCCAGAGATACTGATGGCTAGATATATCTGTGAATGGCTGAAATCCATAGCAAATTTGAATTCTATCTGTTAGAGTTTCCTTGTAAAAGACCTCATGGTGGTGGGATGCTGATGTGGGAAAACCTCTCCCCCCCCCCCCACTGAATTTTAGTGTATCAGGTTTAGAATTGACAGTAACTGGATTGACTTTGGCCATGGATATGGCTGAATAGTTCAAAAACACCATTATGTCATCAGCCCAAATATTTCCTAAATGCATTGTGAATAGAAGTACCTGGGCAGATGGGGATAAATAGAGAATTGTCTAGTTTCACGGTCAGGAAAGTTCCTGGTTCTCATGGACTTCATTTCCTATTATTACTAACAATTTGCCATGTTGGCTGGGCTTCTGGGGGTTGAAGTCCAAGAACATCTGGAGGCACCCCTTTCTCCAGTTGAGAATCCAATAGGGCTAGAGATAGAAACACAAGCAAATGTAAAACACACATTCCTAAATAAAGCCCTTATTGTGGAAAGTCTTTGAAAATTGCATAGTTGGCAAAGACACTCACTGCAGGAAGAAAATGGCTAAAATTACTTCTTGCTTCCTTTCAAAAGAAACCTTGTAAAGAACTGTATCCCTTGGGAATACATAGAAGCAGTAAGGGAGGCAAAGTCTTTGTTTGATGTAAGGAGGGAAGAAGTTGAACAGTTTATTTATCCAGCACTTAGCTTCTGGATGGGTCTTGAGAGCTAAGGAATGGTGAGAAGGTTGGTTTAGAAAATCACCTGTCCCATGATATGCTGATCTGAGGAATTGCCTGGAAGCAAGGCACTGAATAAAAAAACTGCTCAAAGCGGGGAGCTTTCACCTCCTGGTGAGTTATAAATCAACCTTCTTTATCCTTTGCTGTGCCCACAATCTGTTTCCTCCTGTTCCTCCCACACTGCTACTGCTCTATACTGGCATGGCTATCTTGATGTGGTGCACCAGCTGGTTTCTGGCAAATGACTTTATTGGACTGTAGGCAATACATTTTTTGTACAGAATGTTGTTAGAAGGAGAAAATGTATATAGCAGGGGTGGACAAAATGGGACTCTTCTACATGTGGCTATTATTTTGCAGCACTCCTCCTTTCTTTGAAAAAAAAAATGCTATTCCTAAAATCCTTCTGGAGTGATTATTCATATTTTAAATAGATTACGAAGTCTCCTACATTGTTTAAGATAGGTTTTTCCCCACCAAAAATCAGAAGTGGACAGCTGGAGATGGGATGTTTTTGGAAATCTACATAGCCTTCAGAGAGTTCCCGGGGCAGAAATTTGGCTCCTGAAACTCCCGAAGTTGCTCATTGCTCTTAAACAGAAGCATCAAAAGTCATGTCCAGGAGGGCTGAGAATTTGTGTCCCAACCAGATGTTGTTGGACTGTACTCCCAGCATTTCTTACCATTGGCTATCTTGGCTAGGCTTGATGAGAGTTGCAGTCCAACAACACCTGGAGGGGTCACATCTCTCAATTATGTGGTGGCAAAGCAAGGGTCAGGTTGTTTGAGATGTAGGAGTTCCATATCCAGTCCCCAGTAAAAGTCTGGTTTGAGACCTCCAGTGATGGTAGTCCTGACTCCAGTCTTTAGTTGATAAGATTCGGGAGGAACAGCACCAATATAATGTAGTGGTTTGAATGTTGGACTAGGACTTTGGGAGACAAGTGTTCAAATCCTTGTTTGGCTATAGAATACTTGTTTGGCCATTGGGTAACCTTGGGCAAATCACATACTCTCAGCCTCAAAGGAGGGCATTGACAACCCCCTTGTGCACAAATCTTGCCAAGAAAAACACATGGTAGGTTTGCCTTAGGGTCACCATAAATTAGACATTAGTTGAAGGTACACTAAAGCAACATAAGCCTTTTAGGCAGCATGCTTGTACTTGTTCAGTTACAATTTTAAGGATGAGTTTTGGGAGCTAGCCCTTTACCTGGAAATTTAAAGAATTTCTCATTAATGAAATCTAACTTTCATACTCATGTATTCTGAATCAGCATTTAAGCCACTTTTAGAATTTAGAAAACCACTAGATGTCTCTCTTGGTGCATGGTTTTTGTTGCAGAATAATCATTTTGTACCTACAGCAACTGTATGTAATTTGCTTTCCTCCAGGCATACATTGTTTCCAGTACATTCTTGTGCTTGGATTACAGTCAAACACATTTTATGTAACTCTTTGAGTCCCTTTAAATGAGTCAACATTTTAGAATGGGGAAGCCTGAAGGTAGGAACTTTTTCATAAAAGTGGATTTTGTTTCCACAGATGTTGTACCGATGCACTTCTCATATCTTTATACTTAGTTGGTGGCTGTCATTGATAACTCTTAAAAATTAGGACACATGGGCAGGTGTCAAAGCAATGAATAGGAAACTTGATCCTTCAGTTTGTGTAATTATAGAGGAAGGTCCATTCAGGTACTTGGTACTTAGAAGATAAATAAATAAATAAATAAATAAATAAATAATAATAATAATAATAATAATGCGCTTATTTCTATGGCTAAGGCTTAAAATTTACTGCAATCTTTACAAAATGTTTTAAGAAACAAGTGATCAGACAGTTTATAACACTTCTAAGTTCTGCAAGAATACATTTCAGCAAAGGTACATTTCATATGGATGTAAAGAGTAATGAAAGAAGTGTTTTTCCAACCAATTTAAAACCATATGTTGGTGTTTGATCATTTGTTTGTTTAAACTGAGTATGCTTTGCCCTTTTTATAGGTGTAGGATAGCTTGTGCTAATTATCTTCACTTCCTTAGGCAAACTTTTGTACATAGATTTAAAACAAATGATGAAAAACATGTTCATGATCAAATGAGTTCCACTCCCCCCTTTTCTACTTAAAAGAAGAATCTATCCCTATTATCATAATACTTTCCCCTGGTTCTCCACTCCTGCACTCCTCTTGACCTTCTCATATCTCTCAACTTTGCATGGGCCAGATGTACAGTACTTTTCTCCAGAACCTGACATATAATGGTTGCCTCCTTGATCTTGCAGTACATGTTGAAGGAGAGGCATATAAAAAATAAAAGAAGTTGGTTGTATAAACCGCAGTTTACACTGTATTCACACAAAATCAAATATAGTCAGCCCTCCATATCCATGGATTTTTTTAATCCATGGATTCAACAACCCACAGCGTGAAAATATTCCAAATATATATACAGTTGCCCCTCCATTCTCGTGGACTTCAAGTTCACGGTTTTACATATTCATGGAGGGGCAACCTTCATTTAAATCAATGGAGTGCCCCCCCGCGAGCATGCCCCTGTGCGTGCCTGCGGGGGCGCCCCATTCAAACCTATGGGGCTTGAATATTTGCTAATCTCTGTTTTCATGTGTGTATGTGTGTGTGTGTGGGGGGGGCGGAACGGATCCCCTGTGAAAATGGAGGGCCAATTGTAAATTCCAAAAAGCAAAGCTTGATTTTGCTAGTCTATTTAAAGGACACAGTGTTACTATGCCATTGTATATAATGGGAACTGAACATCCACAGATTTTGGTATCCCTGGGGGATCCTAGAACCCAAACCCCAGCAGATACCAAAGGCCCACTATACAGGCATTCCTCACTTTATGGTGCTTTGCTAATATAGCATTTTTCTGTTACATAGTACAGCACCATTTCGTAATGTGTGCTCAGTCTGTTTAGAGCTTTTCTGTACTTCTTGTCTCAATGTTGTATTTTGGCAATTTATTTATTTATTATTTTTACTTTTGCATTTTTTTTAAACCTAGTGCTATTGTACTCTTAATTAATGATAGTGTAAATATGTTCTTA